AACACCCAAGCCCTTCTTATAAGCAAAGGAAGATTTTTTTAACATTTGGTTGCTCTACTGTAAGCTAGGTAAGGAAGATGAGACTGCTGTTACCAAAGGGTCCAAATCACCTCCTTCCCTGGTGAACTGGCACTGTCTGTGTTGCTGTGGCTGGGTGGGAGCAACTCCCAGCTCCACCAGGCAGCACTACTGAGGCATCTGCAGATATTGAATGTCTGCATGTACAAACACAGCGAGAAGAAAGCAAAGCACACAGAGTTCACATCTCAGACAGAGACATCCAGAATCCCAGGAAGAAAGGGCCTAGTGCTCACATCATATTGGGACTCAGCAGTCATGGCATCCTTGCTTTCCTGAATGGCAGAAAGGGCTTCTTGCTTATCGGTGAGTATATATTTTGTGCTGCAGACAGACATGATTTTAATGCTCTGGATAAAATGTTGCTCAGTTTTTTCAGACAGCAAGAGAAACAGGGGCATATAGTTGAGTGAGTGAGCGCTAACCACATACTTAAACCTCATTAGAAACTTCAGCAAAAAAGTGGAAACCCACGATAAACTAAATGAGCAGACCTTGGCTTCTTTTACTTGTTTCACTGATTTTGGAGAGGCAGATATTAATTCCAGTTTCTTTTGTCTGTTGTTTGTACTTTGGAGTAGCAGACAATTTTTATTATGACTTAGAATTTGCAGAAAGTTGATTACACCAATTGAAAATACAAATTTAGTCTAGAAGCACCACTGCCACATGCTGCAGCATGGATATCGTCCTCCCAAGAGCCATGAACACTCTGTCTATGCAGACCCAGCTAGTTAAGGGAAAGAGCGTTGAACTGTCCTGCAGAGAGAGCCCCAGCAGGGTCTGGGGCCATGTCCTCGCTGCTGACAGGGACACCGGGGAAATCCTGTTCCTCATCCGGGCCCTGGCCCACGGCGCAGTGCTGAGGGGGCAGGCTGGGCACGATGGGCTTGAGGAATTTGAACTCGCTGTTGCCCGAGCCCGTGGTCAGGCTGATCTCGTAGCAATAGGCGCGGGGCAGGGTCCCTGCAGCGGCTGCATCGGCCAGGCCGCTCTGCAAGGTGTCGGCAGCATAAAGCACAGGGCCAGCCTTCAGCTCCTGCCTCCCGCACACCTTGCGAGCCACCAAGACGGCGCTGGAGACGAGGAAGAGCAGTGAGACAAAGACCAAGGCAATGATCAAATAGGTGGTCAGGGAGCCGCCCTGGTCCTCGGAGGCCGGGCTGCTGTGCGGCAGGCGCACCTCTGAGAAGTCCTTGAGCAGGAGAGCGCTCAGAGCTGCCGTGGCTGACAGCGGGGGCTTGCCGTTGTCTCTCACCAGCACAACCAGCTTCTGCTTCACGCTGTCTCTCTCTGTCACCGGCCTCCTCAGACGCACCTCCCCGCTTTGCAGGCCCACGGAGAACAGCCCTGGCTCGCTGGCCCTCAGCAGCTGGAACGAGAGCCAGGAGTTCTGGCCCGAGTCCGCATCCACGGCCACCACTTTGCTGACCAGGTAGCCCGCCTCGGCCCACACGGGCACCAGCTCGCTGGAGCCTGGGCTGCTCTCCTGGGCTGGGTACAGCACGAGCGGGGCGTTGTCATTCTCGTCCAGCACGACCAGGCGGACGGTGACGTTGGCTCGCAGGGGAGGAGAGCCCGCGTCAGAGGCACTGACCGTCACCTCCGTCTGCCTCAAGTGCTCGTAGTCCAGGGGCCGCAGCACAAACACGTGCCCCTTCTCCGAGTCCACAGACAGGCAGGAGCACCAGGGCCGCTCCGCCCCTTGCTCTGCTGCCAGGGAATAGCTCACCTTGCCATTCAGCCCCACGTCAGCATCTGCAGCGCTCACGGCTCCAACAAACAAACCGCGGCCGCACTGTTCTCACGCACGTACATGGTGTAGGAGCTCTGGTTGAAGACGGGGGCGTTGTCGTTGACATCCGAGATCTCCACCGTGAAGGTCTGCGTGGTGCTCAGAGGAGGCCAGCCCGCATCTGCTGCCGTCACACTCACGATGTACTGAGGCCTCTCCTCCCGGTCCAGCGCGCTCACTGTCACCAGCTCATAGTAATTCTTATAGGCTGCCCGCAGGGAGAAGGACAGCTCATCCTCCAGGGCACAGGAGATCTTCCCGTTGGCACCAGAATCCCGGTCCCTGACCGTAAACAGGGCAACCACCGTGCCGGGCACTGTGTTCTCGGGCAGGGGACTGCTGAAGGAACTGACCACCACCTCTGGGGCATTGTCATTCACATCCACCACCTCCACCAACACTTTGCACATAGCTGAGAGTCCTCCACCATCTCTGGCTCTCACACGGAATTCATGAGTTTCTGCTTCCTCAAAGTCCAGAGGTTTTGTGAGTTTGATTTCACCAGTTATGGCATCAATCACAAATGCTGAGTCACTCTGTCCCACTGCCTGGCTGAGTTGATAGGAAATTTCCCCATATACTCCTGCATCTGGATCAGTTGCCAGCACAGTCAGAACCACAGAGCCTTCTGGCATGTTCTCCAAAACCTTCCCAACATAACGGTCTTGCGTGAATTTGGGAACATTGTCATTTACATCTAGAATGACAATAGAGATCTCGATGGTCCCACTCCTGGGGGGAGAGCCACCGTCCTCAGCAATGACACTGAAACCCATCTCTGCCTGCTCCTCTCTATCTAGTGGCTTTTCCAAAACAAGTTCAAGATATTTGTCATCCTCAGTCCCACTTCCAAAGGAGACACTAAAGTACTCATTCTCGGGAAAGATGCTGTACTCCAGGACGCTGTTGCTGCCAATATCGAGGTCCTGAGCCTCCTCTAGTGGGAAAACTGTACCGGGCTCGCTCATTTCAGGGATATCAAAAGTGACTCGTTCCTCGGGGAAGACGGGTGAATGGTCATTGATGTCCTCCAGAGTCACCTCGACGCGAAAGAACTGCAGGGGGCTGGAGAGCAGCAGCTCCAAGGGGAGCATGCAGGTGGCGGACTGGCCGCACAGCTGCTCCCGGTCCAGCCTCCCCGCCACCAGCAGGCGGCCGGAGGCGCGCTCCAAGCGAAAATGCTGCCGGCCGTCCTCCGACACCAGGCGGGCGCGGCGAGCCGAGAGCTGCGCCGGCGGCAGCCCCGCATCCTCCGCCAGCTTGCCCACCAGGGAGCCGCTTTCCGCCTCTGAACACAAACACAGAAAATCATACAGTGACTGCTTTCTAGTCCTACCTACAAGCCTTGGGATTTATGAACAACAATGAAAAGACCAAACTTAATGTCTTCTTGGGTTTTTTTTAAAGTTCTTCTTTACTCTACCTTCCATTAAATGTCTTGTAGTATTTATTGATTTTTCCTTCAACGCAGCTAAAACAATGACCATGTTTGTACCACTCCATTCAATTACAGTCTACCCTAACACTGTTTGTGCTGTTGTATTTCCAGGGCAATCCTGAGGTGACAGAACCCCCAAGCCACTCTTATAAGCCAAAGGAAGATTTTTTGAACATTTGATTGCTCTACTGTAAGCTAGATAAGGAAGATGAGACTGCTGTTATCAAAGGGTCCAAATCACCTCCTTCCCTGGTGAACTGGCACTGTCTGTATTGCTGTGGCTGGGTGGGAGCAACTCCCAGCTCCACCAGGCAGCACTACTGAGACATCTGCAGATATTGAATGTCTGCATGTACAAACACAGCGAGAAGAAAGCAAAGCACACAGAGTTCCCATCTCAGACAGAGACATCCAGAATCCCAGGAAGAAAGGGCCTAGTGCTCACATCATATTGGGACTCAGCAGTCATGGCATCCTTGCTTTCCTGAATGGCAGAAAGGGCTTCTTGCTTATCGGTGAGTATATATTTTGTGTGGCAGCCAGACGTGGTTTAAATGCTCTGGATAAAATGTTCCTTAGTCTTTTCAGACAGCAAGAGAAACAGGGGCACACAGCTGAGTGAGCGTGAACCAGATACTTAAACCTTATTAGAAACTTCAGTAAAAAAGTGGAAACCCATGATAAACTAAATGAGTAGACCTTAGGGATCAATCACAAATGCTGAGTTGCTCTGGTGAACTCCTTCGTTGAGTTGATAGGAGATGTCCCCATTAACTCCTGCATCTGGATCAGTTGCCAGCACAGTCAGAACCACAGAGCCTTCTGGCATGTTCTCCAGAACCTTCCCAATATAACGTTCTTGTGTGAATTTGGGAGCATTGTCGTTTACATCTAGAATGATAACAGAGATCTCGATAGTCCCACTTCTAGGAGGAGAGCCCCCATCCACACCAATAACACTGAAACCAATCTCTGCCTCCTTCTCTCTATCTAGTGGCTTTTCCAAAACAAGTTCAAGATATTTGTCAGCCTCAGTCCGACTTCCATAGGAGACAGTGAAATACTCGTTTTCAGGAGAGATGCTGTACGCCTGAACTGTGTTGCTGCCAATATCGAGATCCTGAGCAACCTCCAGTGGGAAACGAGAGCCCGTGTCGCTCGTTTCCGGGATATCAAAAGTGACTCGGTCTTCTCGGAAAACAGGTGAATGGTCATTGATGTCCTCCAGAGTCACCTCGACGCGAAAGAACTGCAGGGGGCTGGAGAGCAGCAGCTCGAAGGGCAGCATGCAGGTGGCGGACTGGCCGCACAGCTGCTCCCGGTCCAGCCTCCCCGCCACCAGCAGGCGGCCGGAGGCGCGCTCCAAGCGAAAATGCTGCCGGCCGTCCTCCGACACCAGGCGGGCGCGGCGAGCCGAGAGCTGCGCCGGCGGCAGCCCCGCATCCTCCGCCAGCTTGCCCACCAGGGAGCCGCTTTCCGCCTCCTCGGCCACGGAGTAGCGGATGGGCTCGGCGCGAGCGAGCGGCAGCGACAGCAAAGCACACACACAAAGCACTTGCCTTGCGAGCGCCATGGCGCGGCGGCGGCGGCGGCGGCGGCGGCCGGTGTCGCTCTCTGGGCGGCTGTCCCGGGCGATTCCCCGCCGAAAGCAAGCGGCCAAGTGCGGCGCGGGCGCCTTCCCTCGCTGCCTCAGATTGCGGCCGGCGCTCCGCAACCTCTGCAGCCGGGCTGTCCCGGCAGCGGGGGACACGGGGCAGCGCTCGCTGCCGCAGCCGCTGCCACCTCCGCCCGGCTGCGCTGCGCTGCTCTAAGCCGGGCCGGGCCGGGCCGGGCCGGGCCGGAAAGAGCGTTGAACTGTCCTGCAGAGAGAGCCCCAGCAGTGTCTGGGGCCATGTCCTCGCTGCTGACAGGGACACCGGGGAAATCCTGTTCCTCATCCGGGCCCTGGCCCACGGCGCAGTGCTGAGGGGGCAGGCTGGGCACGATGGGCTTGAGGAATTTGAACTCGCTGTTGCCCGAGCCCGTGGTCAGGCTGATCTCGTAGCAATAGGCGCGGGGCAGGGTCCCTGCAGCGGCTGCATCGGCCAGGCCGCTCTGCAAGGTGTCGGCAGCATAAAGCACAGGGCCAGCCTTCAGCTCCTGCCTCCCGCACACCTTGCGAGCCACCAAGACGGCGCTGGAGACGAGGAAGAGCAGTGAGACAAAGACCAAGGCAATGATCAAATAGGTGGTCAGGGAGCCGCCCTGGTCCTCGGAGGCCGGGCTGCTGTGCGGCAGGCGCACCTCTGAGAAGTCCTTGAGCAGGAGAGCGCTCAGAGCTGCCGTGGCTGACAGCGGGGGCTTGCCGTTGTCTCTCACCAGCACAACCAGCTTCTGCTTCACGCTGTCTCTCTCTGTCACCGGCCTCCTCAGACGCACCTCCCCGCTTTGCAGGCCCACGGAGAACAGCCCTGGCTCGCTGGCCCTCAGCAGCTGGAACGAGAGCCAGGAGTTCTGGCCCGAGTCCGCATCCACGGCCACCACTTTGCTGACCAGGTAGCCCGCCTCGGCCCACACGGGCACCAGCTCGCTGGAGCCTGGGCTGCTCTCCTGGGCTGGGTACAGCACGAGCGGGGCGTTGTCATTCTCGTCCAGCACGACCAGGCGGACGGTGACGTTGGCTCGCAGGGGAGGAGAGCCCGCGTCAGAGGCACTGACCGTCACCTCCGTCTGCCTCAAGTGCTCGTAGTCCAGGGGCCGCAGCACAAACACGTGCCCCTTCTCCGAGTCCACAGACAGGCAGGAGCACCAGGGCCGCTCCGCCCCTTGCTCTGCTGCCAGGGAATAGCTCACCTTGCCATTCAGCCCCACGTCAGCATCTGCAGCGCTCACGGCTCCAACAAACACCGCGGCCGCACTGTTCTCACGCACGTACATGGTGTAGGAGCTCTGGTTGAAGACGGGGGCGTTGTCGTTGACATCCGAGATCTCCACCGTGAAGGTCTGCGTGGTGCTCAGAGGAGGCCAGCCCGCATCTGCTGCCGTCACACTCACGATGTACTGAGGCCTCTCCTCCCGGTCCAGCGCGCTCACTGTCACCAGCTCATAGTAATTCTTATAGGCTGCCCGCAGGGAGAAGGACAGCTCATCCTCCAGGGCACAGGAGATCTTCCCGTTGGCACCAGAATCCCGGTCCCTGACCGAGAACAGGGCAACCACCGTGCCGGGCACTGTGTTCTCGGGGAGGGGACTGCTGAAGGAACTGACCACCACCTCTGGGGCATTGTCATTCACATCCACCACCTCCACCAACACCTTGCAGATTGCTGAGAGTCCTCCACCATCTCTGGCCCTAACAGTGAGCTCGTGAGTGTTGGCTGCCTCAAAGTCCAGAGGTTTTGTGAGTTTAATTTCACCAGTTAAGGGATCAATCACAAATGCTGAGTTGCTCTGGTGAACTCCTTCGTTGAGTTGATAGGAGATGTCCCCATTAACTCCTGCATCTGGATCAGTTGCCAGCACAGTCAGAACCACAGAGCCTTCTGGCATGTTCTCCAGAACCTTCCCAATATAACGTTCTTGTGTGAATTTGGGAGCATTGTCGTTTACATCTAGAATGATAACAGAGATCTCGATAGTCCCACTTCTAGGAGGAGAGCCCCCATCCACACCAATAACACTGAAACCAATCTCTGCCTCCTTCTCTCTATCTAGTGGCTTTTCCAAAACAAGTTCAAGATATTTGTCAGCCTCAGTCCGACTTCCATAGGAGACAGTGAAATACTCGTTTTCAGGAGAGATGCTGTACGCCTGAACTGTGTTGCTGCCAATATCGAGATCCTGAGCAACCTCCAGTGGGAAACGAGAGCCCGTGTCGCTCGTTTCCGGGATATCAAAAGTGACTCGGTCTTCTCGGAAAACAGGTGAATGGTCATTGATGTCCTCCAGAGTCACCTCGACGCGAAAGAACTGCAGGGGGCTGGAGAGCAGCAGCTCGAAGGGCAGCATGCAGGTGGCGGACTGGCCGCACAGCTGCTCCCGGTCCAGCCTCCCCGCCACCAGCAGGCGGCCGGAGGCGCGCTCCAAGCGAAAATGCTGCCGGCCGTCCTCCGACACCAGGCGGGCGCGGCGAGCCGAGAGCTGCGCCGGCGGCAGCCCCGCATCCTCCGCCAGCTTGCCCACCAGGGAGCCGCTTTCCGCCTCCTCGACAATGAAAAGATCAATCTTATTGATTATTTTCAATTCCTTCTTTACTCTTCCTCTCAATAATTAGCTTGTCGTATTTATGGAGTTTTCCTTCAATGCATTCAACAACAATGAACATGTTTCTACAACTCTGTTCAGTTACAGTCTACCCTAACATCTTTTGTGCTTCTCTATCTCCAAAGCAATCCTGAGAAGACAGAACACCCAAGGCCCTCTTGCAAGCCAAAGGAAGATTTTGTTGTGCATTTTGCAGCTCTCCACTGAGTCAGATTAGGTTGATGAGACTGCTGTTGCAAAAGGATCCAAATCACCTCCTTCCCTGCTGAGCTGGCACTGCCTGTGCTGCACAGGCTGGGTGGGAGCAGCCCCCTGCTTCACCAGGCAGTAATTCTGAGGCATCTTCAGATATTCAATGTCTGCACACAGAGGTCACATCTGAAAAAGGGACATCCAGAACCCAGGCAAGAAAACCCTAGTGCACAAATGATATTGTGACTCAATAGCCACAGCTTCCTTACATTCCTGGAGCTCAAAAAGGGCCTTTTTGCATTTCAGTGAGGATATGATTTGTATGGCCATCAGTGACATTGTCCTAAACTTCAGAAGAAAAAGACCCTCTGTCTTGTCAGACAGCAAGAGAAAGCAGAAAATAGCTGAGACTGCTAATCATATACATAACGCCTGTTACAAATAGCCATAGCAGAGGAGAAACCCATTAAAACTTAGTGAGACAAACTTGGCATCTTTTAATTCTCTAATAGTTTTTGGAGTGGTAGACATATATTCTGAATTGAATATGCAGGAAAAGGGCTAAACCATTTACACATACAGCTATACTCTGGACGAACCACAGTCACATGGAGCATCCTGGATCCACTCCTTCCATGGGTATTGAAATCTCTGACCTTGCAGACCCAGCTAGTCAAAGGAAAGAGCGTTGAACTGTCCTGCAGAGAGAGCCCCAGCAGTGTCTGGGGCCATGTCCTCGCTGCTGACAGGGACACCGGGGAAATCCTGTTCCTCATCCGGGCCCTGGCCCACGGCGCAGTGCTGAGGGGGCAGGCTGGGCACGATGGGCTTGAGGAATTTGAACTCGCTGTTGCCCGAGCCCGTGGTCAGGCTGATCTCGTAGCAATAGGCGCGGGGCAGGGTCCCTGCAGCGGCTGCATCGGCCAGGCCGCTCTGCAAGGTGTCGGCAGCATAAAGCACAGGGCCAGCCTTCAGCTCCTGCCTCCCGCACACCTTGCGAGCCACCAAGACGGCGCTGGAGACGAGGAAGAGCAGTGAGACAAAGACCAAGGCAATGATCAAATAGGTGGTCAGGGAGCCGCCCTGGTCCTCGGAGGCCGGGCTGCTGTGCGGCAGGCGCACCTCTGAGAAGTCCTTGAGCAGGAGAGCGCTCAGAGCTGCCGTGGCTGACAGCGGGGGCTTGCCGTTGTCTCTCACCAGCACAACCAGCTTCTGCTTCACGCTGTCTCTCTCTGTCACCGGCCTCCTCAGACGCACCTCCCCGCTTTGCAGGCCCACGGAGAACAGCCCTGGCTCGCTGGCCCTCAGCAGCTGGAACGAGAGCCAGGAGTTCTGGCCCGAGTCCGCATCCACGGCCACCACTTTGCTGACCAGGTAGCCCGCCTCGGCCCACACGGGCACCAGCTCGCTGGAGCCTGGGCTGCTCTCCTGGGCTGGGTACAGCACGAGCGGGGCGTTGTCATTCTCGTCCAGCACGACCAGGCGGACGGTGACGTTGGCTCGCAGGGGAGGAGAGCCCGCGTCAGAGGCACTGACCGTCACCTCCGTCTGCCTCAAGTGCTCGTAGTCCAGGGGCCGCAGCACAAACACGTGCCCCTTCTCCGAGTCCACAGACAGGCAGGAGCACCAGGGCCGCTCCGCCCCTTGCTCTGCTGCCAGGGAATAGCTCACCTTGCCATTCAGCCCCACGTCAGCATCTGCAGCGCTCACGGCTCCAACAAACACCGCGGCCGCACTGTTCTCACGCACGTACATGGTGTAGGAGCTCTGGTTGAAGACGGGGGCGTTGTCGTTGACATCCGAGATCTCCACCGTGAAGGTCTGCGTGGTGCTCAGAGGAGGCCAGCCCGCATCTGCTGCCGTCACACTCACGATGTACTGAGGCCTCTCCTCCCGGTCCAGCGCGCTCACTGTCACCAGCTCATAGTAATTCTTATAGGCTGCCCGCAGGGAGAAGGACAGCTCATCCTCCAGGGCACAGGAGATCTTCCCGTTGGCACCAGAATCCCGGTCCCTGACCGAGAACAGGGCAACCACCGTGCCGGGCACTGTGTTCTCGGGGAGGGGACTGCTGAAGGAACTGACCACCACCTCTGGGGCATTGTCATTCACATCCACCACCTCCACCAACACCTTGCAGATTGCTGAGAGTCCTCCACCATCTCTGGCCCTAACAGTGAGCTCGTGAGTGTTGGCTGCCTCAAAGTCCAGAGGTTTTGTGAGTTTGATTTCACCAGTTATGGCATCAATCACAAATGCTGAGTCTCTCTGACCCAGTGCTTGGATGAGTTGATAGGAAATTTCCCCATTAACTCCTGCATCTGGATCAGTTGCCAGCACAGTCAGAACCACAGAGCCTTCTGGCATGTTCTCCAGAACCTTTCCAATATAGCGCTCTTCCTTGAAGATGGGAGCATTGTCATTTGCATCTAGAATGACAATGTGGATTTGGGTTGTTCCACTCCTGGGAGGAGAGCCACCATCCACAGCAATGAGACTGAACCCCATCTCTGCATGCTCCTCCCTGTCTAGTGGCTTTGTCAAAACAAGTTCAACATACTTGTCATCCTCATTCCGACTTCCATAGTAGATGCTAAAATACTCATTCATGGGCGCAATACTGTACTCCTGGACTGCGTTGCTGCCAATATCGAGGTCCCGAGCACCCTCCAGTGTGAAACGTGAACCTGCCTCGCTCGTCTCCGGGATGTCAAATCTGACTCGTTCATCGGGGAAGACGGGTGAAAGGTGAATGGTCATTGATGTCCTCCAGAGTCACCTCGACGCGAAAGAACTGCAGGGGGCTGGAGAGCAGCAGCTCCAAGGGGTCGTACGTCCACCGCCTGACCGGCGACAGCTGCTCCCGGTCCAGCCTCCCCGCCACCAGCAGGCGGCCGGAGGCGCGCTCCAAGCGAAAATGCTGCCGGCCGTCCTCCGACACCAGGCGGGCGCGGCGAGCCGAGAGCTGCGCCGGCGGCAGCCCCGCATCCTCCGCCAGCTTGCCCACCAGGGAGCCGCTTTCCGCCTCCTCGGCCACGGAGTAGCGGATGGGCTCGGCGCGAGCGAGCGGCAGCGACAGCAAAGCACACACACAAAGCACTTGCCTTGCGAGCGCCATGGCCGCCGCCGCCGCCGCCGCCGCGGTGTCGCTCTCTGGGCGGCTGTCCCGGGCGATTCCCCGCCGAAAGCAAGCGGCCAAGTGCGGCGCGGGCGCCTTCCCTCGCTGCCTCAGATTGCGGCCGGCGCTCCGCAACCTCTGCAGCCGGGCTGTCCCGGCAGCGGGGGACACGGGGCAGCGCTCGCTGCCGCAGCCGCTGCCACCTCCGCCCGGCTGCGCTGCTATTCAACAACAATGAACATGTTTCTACAACTCTGTTCAGTTACAGTCTACCCTAACACCGATAATGCTCCTCTATCTCCAAGAAAATCCTGAGAAGACAGAACACCCAAGGCCCTCTTGCAAGCCAAAGGAAGATTTTGTTGTGCATTTTGCAGCTCTCCTCTGAGCCAGATTAGGATGAAGACACTGCTGCTGCAATAGGATACAAATCACCTCCTTCCCTGCTGAGCTGGCACTGCCTGTGCTGCAAAGGCTGGGTGGGAGCAGCCCCCTGCTTCACCAGGCAGTAATTCTGAAGCATCTGCAGATATTCAATGTCTACACACAAAGCTCACATCTCAAAAAGGGACATCCAGAACCCAGGCAAGAAAACCCTAGTGCACACATAACATTGTGACTCAATAGCCACAACTTCCTTACTTTCAAGAAGCTCAGAAAGGGCCTTTTGCATTTCAGTGAGGATATGATTTGTATGGCCAACAGTGACATTTTCCTAAACCTCAGAAGAAAAAGACCCTCTGTCTTGTCAGATAGCCAGAGAAAGCAGAAAATAGCTGAGACTGCTAACCAGATGCACAATGCCTGTTAAAAATGGCCATAGCAGAGGAGAAACCCATTAAAACTTAGTGAGACAACCATGCCATCTTTTATTTCCCTAATTGTTTTTGGAGTGGTAGATATAAATTCTGAAAAGAATATGCAGTAAAATTGGTTAAACCATTTACACATACAGATGTACTCTGGACGAACCACAGACACATGAAGCAGCCTGGATCCACTCCTTCTATATGTATTGAGGCCTCTGACCTTGCAGACACAGCTAGTCAAAGGAAAGAGCGTTGAACTGTCCTGCAGAGAGAGCCCCAGCAGTGTTTGGGGCCATGTCCTCGCTGCTGACAGGGACACCGGGGAAATCCTGTTCCTCATCCGGGCCCTGGCCCACGGCGCAGTGCTGAGGGGGCAGGCTGGGCACGATGGGCTTGAGGAATTTGAACTCGCTGTTGCCCGAGCCCGTGGTCAGGCTGATCTCGTAGCAATAGGCGCGGGGCAGGGTCCCTGCAGCGGCTGCATCGGCCAGGCCGCTCTGCAAGGTGTCGGCAGCATAAAGCACAGGGCCAGCCTTCAGCTCCTGCCTCCCGCACACCTTGCGAGCCACCAAGACGGCGCTGGAGACGAGGAAGAGCAGTGAGACAAAGACCAAGGCAATGATCAAATAGGTGGTCAGGGAGCCGCCCTGGTCCTCGGAGGCCGGGCTGCTGTGCGGCAGGCGCACCTCTGAGAAGTCCTTGAGCAGGAGAGCGCTCAGAGCTGCCGTGGCTGACAGCGGGGGCTTGCCGTTGTCTCTCACCAGCACAACCAGCTTCTGCTTCACGCTGTCTCTCTCTGTCACCGGCCTCCTCAGACGCACCTCCCCGCTTTGCAGGCCCACGGAGAACAGCCCTGGCTCGCTGGCCCTCAGCAGCTGGAACGAGAGCCAGGAGTTCTGGCCCGAGTCCGCATCCACGGCCACCACTTTGCTGACCAGGTAGCCCGCCTCGGCCCACACGGGCACCAGCTCGCTGGAGCCTGGGCTGCTCTCCTGGGCTGGGTACAGCACGAGCGGGGCGTTGTCATTCTCGTCCAGCACGACCAGGCGGACGGTGACGTTGGCTCGCAGGGGAGGAGAGCCCGCGTCAGAGGCACTGACCGTCACCTCCGTCTGCCTCAAGTGCTCGTAGTCCAGGGGCCGCAGCACAAACACGTGCCCCTTCTCCGAGTCCACAGACAGGCAGGAGCACCAGGGCCGCTCCGCCCCTTGCTCTGCTGCCAGGGAATAGCTCACCTTGCCATTCAGCCCCACGTCAGCATCTGCAGCGCTCACGGCTCCAACAAACACCGCGGCCGCACTGTTCTCACGCACGTACATGGTGTAGGAGCTCTGGTTGAAGACGGGGGCGTTGTCGTTGACATCCGAGATGGGAGCAACTCCCTGCTTCACCAGGCAGCACTGCTGAAGCATCTGCACATATTCAATGTCTGCATGCAGAGCTCCCATCTCAGACAGAGACATCCAGAACTCAGGCAAGAAAGGGCCTCGTGCTCACATGACATGGTCACTCAATACTCAGAACTTCCTTGCTTTCCTGAAGCATAACAAAGGCCATTTTGCATTTCACTGAGGACAGGAACTGTTTGGCCAACAGTGACAGCATCCTAAAGCTCAGCACTAAAAGATCCTCTGTGTTGTCAGACAGCCAAAAATCAAGAGCATGGCTGTCAGTGGTAAGCACACACTTAAAGCCTGTTACAAATGGCAGTAAGAGAGCTGGAACAAATTACTAAATAAGTGAGTAAACCATGGCTTCTTTTACTTCTCTCATAGATTTTGGAGTGGTAGATATTAATCCTGAATAGAATTTTCAAGAAATTGGGTAAACCAATGGCAAATCCAGATATAATCTTGAGGAATCATTGCCCTATGCTGCAGACTAGATACCCTCCTACCATGGGTCATGACTCCAATGGCTGAGCAGACCACAGCAAGTTAAAGGAAAGAGTGTTGAACTGTCCTGAAGAGAGAGTCCCAGCATCCAATATTTTTTCAATTGTTAAACTCAGAGGTATTCTAGTCTACAATGTTAATCTCTATAACTTCAGCACAACACAGCGTGAGGGAGTTTTTCTCAATATTCCATGCATCAAAGACATTATTCAAGGAACCCGATTTTTTAGAAGGGGTGGCAGTCCTTCTCTGGATGAACAGGCTCAGAACAGTGCTCAGTACATTTCAGTGGGTAGAAGGAGAAAGGGCCACTTGAGAATGCTCTAACACAAATGGAGACAGTCATGTGGGGACAGCTTTCTCTTCCCAAGAGAAAAACACTGAATACAGGAAATGTTCTTGATTTGATCTTCAGAATGTTTTCTTTAATGGATATGTGGTGTCATCATGCAGACAAAGACTATGGATATATTTCCATGACTCTCTGCAGTTTAGCCTGTCCAAACACCGATTGTCCTGACACTGCTGTACTTCCAAGGCAATCCCAGTGAGACAGAACATAAAACCTTCACTTATGGGCCAAGGAAAGAATTTGTCAGTTGTTTTGCTGCTCTGCTCTCAGCCCTGAA